CTAGTCATTTGAAAGCATATGAAGGGGATGATTGTTACTTAATGTTGTTGCTGACATGAAAACCAAGTATTTAAAATATTGGCAGCAAATTCCACTGTTGTATGCATTTGCATTTATTTTGGATCCTAGAGCTAAACTTGAAGGGTATCGTAGTGCACTCAATGTACTGTCTGCATCCCTAATTTTAGATTATACTGACGACTTCAATAAGGCTCGTGAGAAGCTTTTTGAAGTTTTTGCTAAGTATGAGGAAAAATATGCCGGAGTTCGAATGCAACGACCTCCACCAACACCTACTGCAGGTAAAAAGAGAGGAGCATGGAGCATGATCTTTGGTTCTTCGTCCTCCTCGACCCCGAAAGCTCTTCCACGTCAACATCTATGCTTCAAGGTGGCGGGGAGTTAGCGAAGTACCTCAACAGTGACAAAGCCATGTATGATTTAGATAGTGAGGAAGACTTCAACATACTGCAGTGGTGGCAAGAACACAAGCTTATATTTCCGGTGCTCTCCATATTAGCACGTGATGTGTTGTCGGTGCCTGTCTCTACGGTATCATCGGAGTCTGCTTTCAGCCTTGCTAGAAGGATAATTGAGGAGAGGAGAACTAGTCTCGCCCCTGATATGGTGAGAACACTTATGTCCGTCAAAGATGGGGAGTTATCAAGAAGGAGAGCGCAACACACTGCAGAAAACACATAACTACTAGCCATGTTTGAAGAAATGAACTTTGAAGAAGACCCGGAAGAATAGTCGAAGACTTGTAGTGTAGTTATTTTATTATCATTTTGTAATTTTCTTATCTTTTTGTAATTTTCTTTCCTTTTGTAATTCTAGAGCATGGCTTTGTACTCTTTTACTTCCCAGGCAGCCACTAATAAATCTCAACATTTATCCCAGATGATACATTGCCTCAATTTTTTTATGCATTATTGTTGCGGTGCCTAACATGCCTAACGTGCCATTTTTTTGCTATAAAAAGGGATGCCTACTTTCTCATTTCTCACACTCAAACTCCATCTCATTTTTCACACACAAACATGGTTGTTCCTCTTCAAAACGTTATTAAGAGACAAGCTCCCATCTAGAGGTACTACGATGAAGAATTCGTTACAAATGACGACGATCTCACCGAGCTTTTTGCAAAATGCAAAGAATGCGGTAAGAAGTTGCTCGTGCCAAAGCATGATGGCAGGTATGCTGGAACCGGCCACCTGATGAGGCACAGGACGGCACACGTCAAGGCAGCTGAGGCAGCGGCAATAGCTGCGGCTGCGGGGCAAGGTTGAAAGGATCTCATTAGTCAGTTGTAGTATTTGTATTTTTTTTCTTTCTCTATCTTTTAATCTTTTAGTTTTTCTAGAGCAATGGCTTGTACTCTTTTACTTCTTTGGGATGGAAGGTTTTAATGAGGCGGGCGCTAATAAAACTCTAGATTTATCCCACATAATACTCTAACCGTCTAACGTGCCTAACATGCCTAGCGTGCCTAACATGCCTAACGTGCCATTTTTTCCTATAAAAAGGGATGCCGACCCTTCTCAAGTTCTCATTTCTCACATTCAAAAGTCTCAAACTGCATCTTATTTTACACACACAATACAAACATGGATGAGAGAGGCTCCAGAATCTGGGACTACTACGATGCTGAAGTAGTTATGGACGGTAGAAAGTCCGAGCTAAAAGCACGGTGCAAAAGATGCGGTAAGCTGCTGCGCATTGCCTGCCACGGTCCAGTAAACATCCTTACGAGGCACAAAGTAGCACACATCAAGAGAGACGAGCTGGCTGTGGCTGCCGGGCAAGGATGAACAATCCAAATTAGTTCAGTTCTAGTCTTGTAATTTTGTTTAGTTCAATTCTAGTCTTGTAATTTTTTTCATTTCTATTTCTTTTAATCTTTTAGTATTTCTAGAGCATAGCTTGTACTCTTTTACTTCTTTGGGATGGAAGGTTTTAACGAGGCAAGCACTAATATAACTCTAGATTTATCCCACATAATACTCTACATTTTTTTTTGCAATTTTCTACAATTTTTTTGCATTTTTTGGACATTTTTTCGCTGTAAAAACTCCCCAACTCGCACTGCATGTTTTTTTTGAGAAATATCTCACACTGCATGTGCATGGGTGCAGCCGGCAGCAAGCCAGCGACCCAGGCGGACTGCAGCGTGGCGGTGGCAGCGAGCCAGCCTTCCAGCGACGCACGCACAGCGTCAGCGAGCCACATTTTATTTTCGAGAAAAACACAGCGACAACGAGTCAGCGGCGAGCGCCAGGCCACGCGGGCCGGCGTGCCTGGGCGGGCCACGGGCCGGCTTAGCTATGCCGCGTGCCGTGCTTGGGCTCCGACCCCCGCCCGTGGGCCGGCATGGCACGACCCGGCTAGTATTCGTGTCGTCGCGGGCCGGGCCGTGCCAGGCGGCGTTTCCTATTTGGCGCTGCAGGTGCCAGTTATAGCTCATTTTGCAAACTGGCGCCTGCAGCGCTGCAAGCTAGGCCGACCCATATAGTTTTTTTTTTGTTTTTCAAAAACAGAAAGAAGTGCGAACTGCGACTCAAACCAGCAACCACCTGCTACATTTAGCGGTGCAACAACCACCCCACCACCAAACCTCACATGTCTACATTGATCTTTCCATTTTTTCATCTTTCCTCTTTTCCTTTTCTTCCTTTCTTCTTTTTTATTGTTCCTGGTTCACGTACTTTTTTGTTGAAATGACAATATTTTTAAAAATTTGTGAACTTATTTTCAAATTCGTGAACTTTTATAAAATCGATGAACTTTTTTCAAAATCGATGAACTTTTTTTTTCATTCTTGATTTTTTTTCATTTTCGATGAACTTTTTTCTAAATCTATGAACTTTCTTCAAAATTGACGAAGGTTTTTCAAATCAGTGAACTATTTTTCAGATTTGATGATTTTTTTTCAAAATTGATGAACTTTTTGTTCAAAACCAGTGAACCTTTTTCATAATCGATGAATTTTTTTCAAATGGAATGAATTTTTTTAAAAAATGATGAATTTTTTTTTAAAAATTGATGAACTTTATAAAAAATTGTGAACTTTTCAAAAAATTGATGAACATTTTTTAAATTCGTGAATCTTTCTCAAATTGACGAACTTTTTTTTTCACTTTGTACGAACCTTTTTGAAATTGATGAACTTTCTTCAAGTTCACTTTTATTTCATTGTGATTTTTTATTTATATCATAAAAAAATACGCATAACAAACTGGGTATATATTACTCCTACATGCTAATGATTTATTAAAAGAAGGGTCTAATAGAGTATTTTCCTCACACTAGACAGCACAAAGGCGTTGGCCTAGTGGTTATTGCCTAAAATGTTTGTAGTGAGTGGGAAGGGGTTGAATCCCGTTTCTTCCCTTGTCTGCAGAAAATAGGTGTCTTTTTCTGCGGTACAATTTTTTTTAAGGATTTCTGCGGTACAAGTGGGATAACTTTTTTTCCTGGGCCGGCCCGCTATGCCTGTGCTGCGAGCGCCAGTTGCGATTTTGATAAAAGTTCATCAAATTTAAAAAAGTTCATTGAATTTGAAAATAAGTTCACAATTTTTTTTAAAAAAATTGTCCATTTTAACAAAAAAGTACGTGAACCAGGAACAATAAAAAATAAGAAAGGAAAAAAAAAGAGGAAAGATGAAAAGAATGGAAAGATCAATGTAGACAGGTTTGGTGGCGGGGTGGTTATTGCATTGCTAAATGTAGCAGGTGGTTGCTGGTTCGAGTCGCAGTTCGCACTTCTTTTTGTTTTTGAAAAACAGAAAAAGTTATATGGCCCGGCCCAGCTCGCAGCGCTGCAGGCGCCAGTTTGCAAAATGAGCTATAACTGACGGCTGCAGCGCCAAATAGGAAACGCCGCTTGACGGCCCGGCCCGCGAGGCCGGGCCGTGCCATGCCGGCCACGGGCGGGGGGTCGGAGCCCAAGCACGGCACGCGGCCCGCCTGGCGCTAGCTTGGCCCGCGCGGCCTGGCGCTCGCCGCTGGCTCGCTGTCGCTGCGTTTTTCTCGAAAAAAAATCTGTCTCGCTGACGCTGCGAGTGCGTGCGTCGCTGGAAGGCTGGCTCGCCGAGCAGGAGCTCCCCGTGCCAGGCACGTTTAGCGCGGGCCGGGCCGGCCCGTTTGGCCAGCTATACACAGGATAGGGCTGCCCTCGCCGCAAAACCCACCCCGCCAGCCGCCCCCTCTTCCCTTTCTCCTCGCC